ATATTATACATGTGTGTGTGTACACACATGTATAATAGATACCTTAAAACAAGTGAGACAAAAGCTTTGGAATCTTCCTGGATTCGTTCTTAGGTCTGAAGGGATAGGGAGAGGCGGGAATATACAAGCAAGGTGAGACAACGGTGCTTCATGCACAGGGTGGTGTGAAACGATGGTGTGGTAACGTAGTTAGTGTTGTGCTTGCATGCCTTCTCGCTTGCAACTGACACCGCTGGTTAGCCTAGTCCGAAAAAGGGAGCAGCTCTGCATAAGCCTCCCTTGCCAGTGCATAGCCTCCCCGTGGCCACCTATGGAAACTGGTACCTTGCGGTCCCAGGCTGAACTGTAGGGGATCTCGGAGCAGCAGGGAGGACCCAGAGGTACAGGGTCATGGCTCACCGGCGTGTGGACACGCCCTGGCCTTGTACTAACTCCTGCCCCTAAGCCCCCTGGGGTTAATGGAGGCTCGGGGAGGTGGACCTTGCCAGTCCTCCCCCCTAGTGATAACCCATCGACAACGTCGTATATAATTGGTAATGCCGGGAGGAGGGAAATGCCCCTCTTACCCGGCATGAGAGGCGGGCTGCATGCCCCGCTGGGAGGGCGGCTGCCGGGACACAGGATGGGAACAAGAACTACTTGTCCTGCCTACGTTCTGGCAGCCGCCAGCCTGGAATGTGGGGCAAAGCCCAAGAGAACCCCACAGGTGGATGTGGGATCCTGCAGCCTGCCGCCCCCTTTTATGTGGGGCAGTGTCGGTGGGGGTGGCAGACGTGGCGTCCACCCAGAGTAACTACCCAAGGGTGAACCTCAGCCGGGAAGTCAGGGTGGGGGCTTAAAACATCCACTCTTTGCATCAGGATGATCGGTTGCCTCTGCTATCGAGGGAACTGGGGAGGCTGAGAGTTGGGGTGGCTGAGAAGACCTGGCTGCGTCACAATCAGTGTAGGTGGTTACACCTACTGGTCAGGCCGCAGCGACGGTCACCATCTCCATGGAATAGCCATTGCTGTCTCCAGTAAGCTCCAGTCCTCTGTGGTAGAGGTTACTCCAGTCAACGAGCATATAATGTTATTGAGACTGAAGCTAGTATGTGGCTTCATGTCTCGTGTGCGCTCCTACCGATGTTTGTAAACTCGACGTGAAAGAGATGTTCAACGCCAAACTTGCATCCGTGGCAGACAGCTGTTCCCGGCGGGATATTCATATTGTCCTGGGTGACTTCAATGCGGTATCTGGCTGTGATCGAGCTGGTCATGAGATGTCTGTCAGTCCCCAAGGTTTGGGGGCTGATGCCGGCAGCGAGAATAGCCTCCTTTTCCGGGACTTTGTAAGGTTCCAGAAATTGAGGATTTCTGGATCCTGGTACCAGCAGCCAGACCCACGTCGTTGGACATGGTACAACGATGTGGGCAATGCAACCAAGGAGATCGACCACATACTCTTTAGCACTAGTTGGAGGATCCTCCAGAACTGCAGGTGTGTATAGGAGTGCCAACTTCTGTGGTACTGACCATAGACTGGTTGTGGCTACCCTCCGGGTCTACTTCAAAACTCCCCAGCGGTCTGATGATCACCCTAGAGTGTTTCATCTGGACAGGCTGAAGGAGGAGTGTGTTCGGGGGTTTGCTGAGGCAATCTCTAGTTGTTTCACAGCGCTCGACAGTCTGACGGACCCTGTACTTTTGTGGGATACCTTCAAGCATGAAACGCTTGGTGCAGCCCAAGAGTCGATTGGTGAACGCCCGAGGACAATACAGAATTTTATGTCACAGGAGGCACTGGAAGGTACAGATGCTTGCCGTATGGCTCGTCTGAGAGGGGATCGGGATTTGCACCGTTCTCAGGTGCTTAGAACTCGGTCTCTGTTAAGAAGTGACAAGGAACAGTTTGTTAGGAGTCTTGCTGAGGAGGTCGAAGACCATTAGTAGATGACCTTTGGCCTGCATACCAAGCCCTGAGAAAACTGAATTCCAAGCCCCCTTCACAGGTGACAACAGTTCGCTTAGTAAGTGGCCAGATCATCTCAGATCCTGTTGTGGTGCGGGAGCGTTGGGCTGAGTATTTTGAACAGTTGTACCAGGTTGATCCACCAACAGTTAACTTGGATGCAGGCAGTACCGTGATTCCGTTGCCGGACCCACCCATCAGTGAGGATCCATTCTCCCGAACTGAAGTTTGGGGGACAATCTCCAAGCTGAAGAGTGGTAAAGCAGCAGGTATTTGCGGCATCCCAGCTGAACTGTTAAAGGCTGGTGGTGAACCTATGGCGCGTGGATTGCATGCTGTCCTGGCTGCCATCTGGCAGTCTGGTACCGTTCCCCCTGATTTGTTGAGGGGTGTGGTCATCCCTCTCTGGAAGAGGAAGGGGGACTGTTGGGACTGCAGCAATCACCACTGCTCAGTATACCAGGCAAGGTTCTCGCCTACATCCTTCTGAGACATATCAGAGACCACCACCAGAGGCATCAGAGCCCTGAGCAATCTGGATTCGCTCCTGGTAAGTCCACAATAGACCGTATCCTTGCACTTCGAGTCATTGTGGAGCTTGCAGTCTATATCTACCTCAAGGAGGCGTTCGATACGGTGCATCGGGAATCAGTCTGGGAGATCCCGAGACTGAGAAGAATTCCATCAAGGATTATAAAAGTGTACAAAGTTATTGTGGAGCAATACTGGGCAATATCAGGTTTACAGACCTTGACTTTGTCGATGATGTCGCGATTCTATCTGAGTCTTTGGAAACCCTAGTGGTGGCTCTTGATGCATTTAGTAATGAAGTGAAGCCCTTGGATCTAGAGGTCTCCTGGACCAAGACCAAGATCCAGGACTTTGGGGACTTGATAGGAGAACCTGTTCGGTCAATAAGTGCTTGCGGAGAGGACATTGAAGTCACAGAGAGCTATACATACCTTGGTAGTGTAGTTCATAACTCAGGAAGTCAGCAAACGGATTGGCCTGGCAGCAGGGGTCATGAACTATCTCGACAAGAGTATTTGGAGATGCCAGTACCTGTGCAGAAGGACCAAGCTATGCGTCTTCAAGGCCCTGATAATCCCAATTTTGTTATACAGTAGTGAAACCTGGACATTATCCTGTGCTTTGGAGTCTCGTCTTCTTCAGTAATAGGTCCTTGTACCGGATCATGGGGTACAGTTGGCGGGACCACGTGTCCAACCAACGGTTGCACCGTGAGACTGGCGCAGGACCAGTTACCTGCACAATCCGGGATTGCCAACTCAGGCTATATGGCCACATGGCTCGTTTCCCCCAGGTTGACCCTGCCCACCAAGTTGTCTCTTTATGAGACAGCCCTGGGTGGAGGAGGCCTGTGGGACGACCCAGGAGGTCGTGGCTTGGGCAGATCGATCAAACAGACAGTCGTATAGCGAGATTGGTACCTGACTCGCCAGTCTAGTTATCACAGGATGTACAGGGAACAGCTAGGTGCCCATATTCAAGGTAGAGGGGAGGGCAGGTGTGGGTCAGGTTGCGATGGAAGGCAAATGATAAGGTGAAAAGAGCAATGTAGAGAGTAGATATCAGTGTAGGGCAAGCTGAGGACGGGCAGGTGAGGGCCTCTTTAAGAAAGGAGTCATGGTAGAAGGTACACCGCGCCCTGGGTAAAGCGACGTCGAGAACATGACGAGGGTAGGCCATTTGGAGAACAAACGACGTATAAGATCGAGTTCTCCATCCAGGTACTGGGGGTCACAGATGTGAAGGAACACATCTCTTCACATTGAGTGGATGGTACGAGAAGTGTGTGTATATAAATATGTGCGTGGGTTTCTTGCATATGGAGAATTGGTCAGCAGAGGATGAACTAGTGTCCAAGAAGGGGAGTTTGTTGTCAGCCTCCCTTTCCACCTTGAAACGGATGGAAGGAGAGAGAGAGGAAATAAGGGAATAGGTCACAGGCATGAAGCCAGAGAGCAAAGGCATACATCAGCCTTTGGAAAACAGGCTACTAACTCTTTCAGGCGATGGTGAAAGGTAGCAGTAATGCGTTGTTGGGGCTCACAGGTCAGGTGGACATAGGTGGAGGAGTTATCCAACAGGTGCTGGGCCTTAGTAGGAAGCATGGTTGAGAACCACCACAGAGTTATCCATGACAGAAAGCAAAGCGGTGACATCCTCCTTGCGCAGGCTGTGAAGGGCCTCTCGGTAACGCCTGGGAATGGAGGGCTTGGGTGGATGAGGGACTAGAGGGCCGGGATAAAGGCACCACGGAGAAAGAATCAGGCAAGGAGTTCCCATGAGTGGAAATGAAACAAAGGATGAAATAATGTCGATGGAGGTAAGGGGGAGAGGGCGGAGAGCGAAAGAAAGACCGAAGCCAAGTTGTTTCTGGTGAAAGTTAAAGGACAGGGAAGATATGTTGATGACAGCTTTGGCGAGGGAAAAGCGGGACCTTATACATATAATTTAGGATGTGACAACAAAAGGTGTCAGATGATCATTATGTGGTGATACCAACTCTTGTTCATCAGTGTGGTTATTGGTGCCGGAACTAAAAGAAATCAGGTTGCCAGGCATACGATAAATTCCAAATGAAAATGCATTTTTCCATAAGGAATATTGTAAAATACATATTTTACCTTGATGTCTAGTAATTGTATGCACATGTGCTACACAAAGGAATATTCAAAGCTGTTAAAAATGTTATTTAGAGAAAACGTAGATAGTGTATCACACAAAGAATGCATATAATTTCAGATTTTATCAGTGAAACAATAATCATTTTCTTGGTAGTGATTTTTCATAGTAATGATAGTCATAGTGACAACAATAATAACAGTGACCATCCTCATTCTGATCACCACCCTCTATCCTTCACGCCCTCCCATCCTACCGATCCCTGGCTGCCACAGTCTGCCTCGAGGACCCGCCGGCTGCCCCCTCGCCCCTGATCGCCAACTTCACCAGCGAGGACCTGCGCTACGTGGGCGGCTTCCTCAACTTCACTTGTCCGGAAGGGATGGCCACCGTCGACGGAAACACGAGCCAGGAGGTCGTCTGCCGAGCGACCGCAGAAGTGGCCACCTACGCGTTCGTTCCTGCGGTGGTTAAGCCGTGCAATGGTAAGGGAGGTCCGAGAGAGTTGCGTGCCTGGGGAGAGCTCGGATCGTGGCCCGGAGGACCGGGAGCCTGGTCGGGTTGTGTGGACTGTGGATTGTATGTTGTGTGGGTTGTATGCTGTGTGGATTATGTGTTGTGTGGGTCATGCTGTGTGAGTTGTATGTTGTGTGGGCTGTATGCTGTGTGGATTGTATGTTGTGTGGGTCATGCTGTGTGGGCTGTATGCTGTGTGGTGTATGTATGTTGTTTGGGTTGTATGCTGTGTGGGTTTGTTGTGTGGATTGTATGTTGTGTGGGTTGTATGTTGGTGGCTGTATGCTGTGTGGATTATGTTGTGTGGGTTGTGTGAGTTGTATGTATGCTGTGTGGATTATGTGTTGTGTGGGTCATGCTGTGTGAGTTGTATGTTGTGTGGGCTGTAGTTGTATGTTGTGTGGGCTGTATGCTGTGTGGATTGTATGTTGTGTGGTTTGTATGCTGTGTGGATTGTATGTTGTGTGGGTTGTATGTTGTGTGGATTGTATGTTGTGTGGGTTGTATGTTGTGTGGATTGTATGTTGTGTGGGCTGTATGCTGTGTGGATTGTATGTTGTGTGGATTGTATGTTGTGTGGGATGTTGTGTGGATTGTATGTTGTGTGGGTTGTATGCTGTTTGGATTGTATGTTGTGTGGGTTGTATGCTGTGTGGATTATGTGTTGTGTGGGTCATGCTGTGTGTGTTGTATGTTGTGTGGGCTGTATGTTGTATGGATTGTATGTTGTGTGCTGTATGCTGTGTGGGCTGTATGTTGTGTGGTTGTATGTTGTGTGGGGTTTTTATGTTGTGTGGATTGTATGTTGTGTGGGTTTATGTTGTGTGGGTTGTATGCTGTTGGATTGTATTGTTGTGGTGGTTGTATGTTGTTGTGGGTTGTATGTTGTGTGGATTGTATGTTGTGTGGGTGTTGTATGTTGTGTGGATTGTATGTTGTGTGGATGTGTGGTTGTATGTTGTGTGGGGTTTTATGTTGTGTTGTATGTTGTGTGGATTGTATGTATGCTGTGTGGATTGTATGTTGTTGGTTGTTTGTTGTTGTGGTTGTATGTTGTGTGGGTTGTATGTTGTGTGGATTATATGTTGCGTGGGTTGTATGTTGTGTGGCTGTATGCTGTGTGGATTGAATGTTCTGTGGATTGTATGTTGTATGGATTGTCTGCTGCGTGGATTATATGTTGTGTGGGTTGTATGCTGTAGATTGTATGTTGTATGGGTTGTATGTTATGTGGATTGTATGTTACGTGGGTTGTATGTTGTGTAGATTGTATTTTGTGTGGGTTGTATGTTCTGCGGATTGTATGCCGTGTGGATTGTATGT